TGGTGCATATTTCCCACCCTGAGGGAGAAAAATCCCCCCCCCCCCCCCCCCCCCGACCCACACCCCTGCGAATTGAAATACTATTGAGTATCTGATAATGAAATGTATATTTTTATCTGTACAAATCACTGTATGAGTTGCTGCCACCTAGTGACTGGAGGTTTGTTGTCATTCAAGCGTTACAGCAGTGGTACACTGATGCTCGCCCTAGCACCTCACCGCGCCCCCCCATGGGGCCCGCCCCACTATTTGAGAAGTCCTGGTTAACATTCAGCTGTTCTAGCTTTTATAAATCATTTGATGATTTGTTTTTAACTTTCTTGTTTGTCTTTTCCGGCCACTAGGGTACACGAGGCCGTGTTTATAGTCCCGGTCCCAAACCCAGATCAATGGTCAGGGTTGGTCAGGAAGGGCATCCGCCGTAAAACCTTTAGCTAAATCAAATATGCAGATCAATAAAACCATTTCCAGGACCGGATCGGTCGAGGCCCGGGTTAACAACGACCGCCAACAGAGCCGGTGGTCAGAGACAGAGAAGAAGAGGAGGGACAGTGGACACATTGGTAGAAGAATGTTAGAGATGGAGCTACCAGGTAGGAGAAAGAGAGGAAGGTCAAAGAGGAGATATATGGATGCAGTGAGGGAGGACATGCAGATAGTTGGAGTCAGAGTAGGAGATGGAAAACAATCATTCACTGTAGCAACTCCTGAAAAAAGAGGGACAAAGCCAAAAGAAAAAGAAGAAGTTTGTCTTTGTTCTGCTGCGTCACCTGGTCCTCCCTGGTCCTCCCTGGTCCTCCCTGGTCAGGGACAGGACCAGGTGAAGGTGGCAGAGTCACCTGGACCCAGGACTTAGAACTGATTGGTTTGAATAAAGAGGAAGAGCAGAGAGTCTGAAGCTGCTCCTCCTCCTCCTCCTCCTCCTAATTATGATCCAGTATTTACCTCCACACACACACACAGACACACACACAGACACACACACAGACACACACACACACAGCCTGGAGCTGTGCCTCGGCTCCGTCTCTCTGCTCAGCCTGGATGTTGATTTTTGGGGACACAGACAGGGAACGAGAGCAGAGAAATTGGAAAAAAAAAATAAAACCAGGAGGGAGGCGTGTGAGGTGCTCTGATTCAGGAGCCATAAATATCCTCAGGAGGAGAAGCCGAGGCGGAGCACATGTGACACGTCCACCGAGACGAGGAGGCTCAGAGTTAATAACTCAGCAGCGCTCCTCCACCGATTATTC